CTGGTGTCCTTTGACAGCTCTTTGGTCTTGGCCATAGTGGAGTTTGGAGTGTGACTGTTTGAGGTTGTGGACAGGTGTCTTTTATACTGATAACAAGTTCAAACAGGTGCCATTAATACAGGTAACGGGTGGAGGACAGAGGAGCCTCTTAAAGAAGAAGTTACAGGTCTGTGAAAGCCAGAAATCTTGCTTGTTTGTAGGTGACCAAATACTTATTTTCCACCATAATTTGCAAATAAATTCATTAAAAATCCTACAATGCGATTTTCTGGATTTTTTTTCTCTCAATTTGTCTGTCATAGTTGATGTGTACCTATGATGAAAATTACAGGCCTCTCTCATCTTTTTAAGTGGGAGAACTTGCACAATTGGTGGCTGACTAAATACTTTTTTTCCCCACTGTGTATTATAACACATTTCACACATGTTATCCAGAGACTGACTGTTAGCACTTGGCGGTCTATAGCTTCCCACCAAAATGGGCTTTAGGTGAGGCAGGTGAACCTGTAGTCCATATTAACATGAGATCCTCTCTAAGCTTTACAGGAATGTGGTTCTGAATATAGACCGCAACACCGCCCCCATTGGCATTTCTGTCTTTTCTGTAAATGTTATAACCTTGTATTGCTACCACTGTATCATCAAAGGTATTATCTAAGTGAGTTTCAGAGATTGTCAGAATATGAATGTCATCTGTTATTAGCAAATTATTGATTTCATGATCCTTGTTTCTTAAGCTACATATGTTAACGTGGGCTATCTTTAAAAAATGTCTGGGATGCTTGATTATTTTTCTTGCTTTACTGGGAAGCTTAGCAGAGGTAGACATACTCAGGTTATTTTTAAAAATAAGAAAAGCAGACAATTAATAATATTCCTTTGACCATGGTGATGTTATTCATTACGCTTTTGATGGTGTATCAATACACCCAGTCACTACAACGATACAGGCGTTCTTCCTAACAGTTGCTGGAGAGGAAAGAAACCACTCAGGGCACTAAAGTAATACTGCAAATAATGCGGCAAAGAAATTAACTTTTTATCCTGAATACAAAGCATTATGTTTGGGGAAAATCCAACACAAGACAACACTAAGTACCCCTCTTCATATTTTCAAGCATGGCGGTGGCTGCATCATGTTATGGATATGCTCGTCGTCTGCAAGGACTCTGGAGTTTTTTTAGGATAAAAATAAACAGAATAGAGCTGAGCACAGGCAAAATCCTAGTGGAAAACCCTGAGCTGAGCTTTCCAACAGAAACTGGGAGACAAATTCACCTTTCAGCAGGTCAATAACTGAAAAGTTCCTGAGTGGCCTAGTTACAGATTTGACTTAAATTGGCTTGAAAATCTATGGCAAGATTTGAAAATGGTCTGTCTAGCAATGATCAACAACCACTTGACAGAACTTGGCGAGTTTTTAAAAGAATAATGGGCAAATATTGTACAATCCAGTTGTGCAAAGCTCTTAGAGACTTACCCAAAAACACTCACAGCTGTAATCACTGCCAAAGTGTATTCTAACATGTATTGACTCAGGGGGTTGAATACAAGATATAGTAGTGTTTTATTTTTCATTCATCTTTAAAAAATGTTAGAATTTTTCTTCCACTTTTACATTAGAGTATTTTGTTTAGATCATTGGTTAAAAAAAGACAATTAAATCAATTTTAAATCCAATGTGTATCAACAAAATGTTTAAAAAAATAAATAAATTTTTTTTAAGGGTGTAAATACTTTCTGAAGGCACTGTATATGTCAAATATATGTCAGATATAATGTATGCGACATTACCATTGCACCACTTTCCCAGCTAGAGCCTTTTATAGTACATGACCAGCAATTTAGCATCAGCAATCTCACCTAAAGTTTAGTCTCCTGGGGCATCCTACCAATTTACCAAAAGTTGTATACCTTCCTAGAAGTATTCAGACCCCTTGACTTTTTCACATTTTGTTACAGCCTTTTTCTCAAATTGATTAAATTATTTTTTTCCCTCATCAATCTACACACAATAGCCCATAATGACAAAGCAAAAACAGGTTTTTAGATTTTTTTGGCAAAAAAACAAAACCTGAAATATCACATTTACATAACTATTCAGACCCTTTAATCAGTACATTATTGAAGCACCTTTGACAGCGATTACAACCTCGAGTCTTCTTGAGTATGACGCTACAAGCTTGACGCTACAAGCTTGGCACACCTGTATTTGGGGAGTTTCTCCCATTCTTCCCTGCAGATCCTCTCAAGCTCTGTCAGGTTGGATGGGGAGCGTCGCTGCACAGCTGTTTTCAGGTCTCTCCAGAGATGTTCGATCAGGTTCAAGTCCGGTCTCTAGCTGGGCCACTCAAGGACATTCAGAGATTTGTCCCGAAGGCACTCCTGCGTTGTCTTGGTTGTGTGCTTAGGGTCGTTGTCCTGATGGAAGGTGTACATTCACCCCAGTCTGAGGTCCTGAGCACTCTGGAGCAGGTTTTCATCAAGGATCTCTCTGTACTTTGCTCCATTCATCTTTTCCTCGATCCTGACTAGTCTCCCAGTCCCTGCCGCTGAAAAACATCCCCACAGCATGATGCTGCCACCACCATGCTTCACCGTAGGTTTCATCAGACCAGACAACCTTGTTTCTCATGGTCTGAGAGTCTTTAGGTGCCTTTTGGCGAACTCCAAGTGGGCTGTTATGTGCCTTTTACTGAGGAGTGGCTTCCGTCTGGCCACTCTAGGCCTGATAGGTGGACTGCTGCAGAGATGGTTGTCGTTCTCTAAGTTTCTCCCATCTCCACAGAGGAAATCTGGAGCTCTTTCACAGTGACTATCGGGTTCTTGGTCACCTCCCTGACCAAGGCCCTTCTCCCCCAATTGTTCATTTTGGCCGGGCGGCCAGCTCTAGGAAGAGTCTTGGTGGTCAAACATCTTCCATTTAAGAATAATGGAGGCCACTGTGTTCTTGGGGACCTTCAATGCTGCAGAAATGTTTTGGTACCCTTCCCCAGATCTGTGCCTCGACACAATCCTGTCTCTGAGCTCTACAGACAATCCCTTCGGCCTCATGGTTTGTTTTTTGCTCTGACATGCACTGTCAACTGTGGGACCTTATATAGACAGGTGTGTGCCTTTTCAAATCATGTCCAATCAATTGAATTTACCACAAGTGGACTCCAATCAAGTTGTAGAAATATCTCAAGGATGATCAGTGGAAACAGGATGCACCTGAGCTCAAGTTCGAGTCTCATAGCAAAAGGTCTGAATACTTATGTAAATAAGGTATTTATGTTTTTATGTTTTTATAAAATTGCTAAAATGTATAAAACCCTGTTTTCGTTTTGTCATTATAAGGTATTGTGTGTAGATTGATGAGGGAAAAATTGAATTAAATCCATTTTAGAATAAGGCTGTAACGTAACAAACTGTGGTGGGTCTGAATACTTTCCGAAGGCACTGTATGCTGCTGGTCCATCTTTTCTACTCACTCCTTTATAGGAATATGAAATAAATAATATTTAGACAATTGAGAAGGTCAATGTGATGTTTTAATCGTGATGGTGTTGCACCCCAGATTTAAATCATGGAGCGATGACGCTTGTTTCCCCCGTTGTTCTGTCTGTCGCCTGTGTACGGAAACATTTCAAATCCCTGAACCACATGGTGTCGCACTTGCACATGTTAACAGATTGACTAGAGGCCGTTTTTATTGTGTCGAGTCAAAATCTGCGGATTTAATTCCTATCAGTCGGTGCTCAATCATATCGATTTGATGGATATCGAAAATCAAATGGGTCATGATGACCAGAAGACTGAGACTTTGAAGGTAGACATGTTCAAAAGCTTTTACCCTAAATATTAGCTAAATCATTTGCCAGCCTTTCTTTCAGTTGTATGATCATGTGTGAAGTAAGTGTTGACTGCTAAATAGTGGGTAGACTGGGTTATTCTGCGTGATGTAGACTTGTATTCCAAGCATTAGTGGGCATGCGGGTGCTGCAGCCAGAAGGACTTCCAATACTTCGCCATTATCTGAGAACAACTGTCGCTGTTTCTTGAATTGACAGGCATTTGTGTATTGTGTGGCAGTGAAATCTTCATAAGCAGTCTGGTGATTGAGCAAATATCTGATTTAACGACGTTTCCTGTAAACGGATTTGCCACTATGCTCACAGTCTGAAAGCAGATTTAGGGCTAACAAACACGGTTCTGTTTAATCTGTCTGCAAGTTTTTCAGAAGTTATTTGCGAAAGGCTAACCTCGTTAAATTTGACATAGGGTCACTACATTTCGCAAGCAGACATTGGGCAGTTCAAAGCAGAGGAAACCCTGCACTTTTACCTCAATACGTTAAACTTCACATTTCATTTGAGAAAAAATCAAACGTACTTCATAGCTATATCGAATTCCGGGTTGAGTCAAAAACGCCCATAACTCGCATTTTAGACACAAATGCATGGTGTCAAAAGGAGATTTGCGCCAAAGTTATGCAATTGAAGTAGCAGTTCGAATTCTGATTTTGAGTAGGCCTAATATTCATTTCATTTTGGTAGTCTTTAGGTTCCCTTATGGACCCAGAATGTCAATTTACAAGAGCTATTGGAAAAAGACATGTAACAACTGCAGGTTTTAATATTTTCTTTATCTCATTTTGTAATAAACATATAAATAATAAACTCTAGACATTTTTGACACATCGCCCTGTTATGAAAGTTAACTGGAACGCTATTATATACTATCCAAACTGTGCATCTGCCGCATGTTATTTCTATAAAACTATTTCCCTATTACAAAATATGAAAAGAAAAAATACATTTTAGTACATTTACAGGAGTTACTTATTAATTTATTCAACGAAACGTTTTGTTCTGTACTACTTATACTGTTACTGAATTGTCAGAATGTGCATTTCAAATTTTCTAAAATAAAAATAGAAAAAAGAAATACAACAAAAGCAGAGGCAATAATTATACGAGGCAGAATATCTGTCCCAATCTGACAACTTAAATGAAACGTTTCCAAAATAATAGAATTCTTAATAAACAAAACAGTACAAGATTTCCAAGACTTTTCCCAACTATTTAAATTAAAATATATTCTCGTATCTTACACTATTTCAAATAACGAAATGTGATTCGGTAACGATCTGTCAAAATCAAATGTACAATTCTGTGTATAAAAATATAATTTATGGACCCCACGAAGTTTGTTTATCCCCAAAATATAACAGTCAGTTGCACATAATATGCACAGAACAAGAAGTTTGCTCCTTTTTACATAATCTTATTTTTCTTTGCGGTTAACTTGGAGATATACAAAAATAGATTCTGCACAATTTGCTGGTCACACCGTTTTAGGATCCATCCGTGTGATACCAGCCAGTTCACATGAGAATAAATTATTCAAAGAAAACTTTTAAGGCTCCATTCATTCTTTAAAAGGGACACACATGTAAAAGTCACTGAAATAAATATCCCAACATCGCTGGGGCCTTTGTATTTTTCATTCTACTATTGTTTATTGTCCTAGATTAGTCTTATTTTGCTTTGCTTCAACTTGAGTTTATTGACATCCCCAGTGGGTGAAGCGCGTGGCTATCCAAGAGCCACGTTCCTAATTGATATAGAATCTTGGAGTACCAGTGCACTCCATCCTCATGTAAGGTGGCGTTGGGCATGGAGTAGTCTTTCAGGGATAGCAAGGAGGACAGCCAGTAGCTCAGTCTGACAGGTGCAAACGCCCAGTGCGCTAGATTGTGGTCTTCAATTACAGCGTAACATGACACAAGCACCTGATCTACGACGATGGTTCCTTGAACCGTCATTGGCGCAAAGGACCCCTCGTGCTCCTCCATGTAAATCCGTCCCACGGTGACCGACTTCAGTTGGTTATGCAAATCATCAAAGACAACCACCTTTTGTCCAGGTTTGACTTTGCTCGCAAATACTGCTGACATGCTGTGGAGATCATCCGTTGAGTTGTTGACCACAAAGAGGAGATGTGCAGCAGTAAGGGTGATTTTCTGGGTCGTTTCTTTAGTCTCTATCACATAAAACACTCGTCTAGTTGACGAGTCCTGGTCCATGAACATGATGAAGTCACTGTATGCGAGGTCCCCATCACTGTTGGCAGCCAGCACTTTGTCGCCAACTCTGAGGTCTTTCACTGCCTTCCTGCTTCCATCTTTGAGAGTCACGGAAGCGGTGCCTGGGAAACAGCCTCCTGATTTGGCAGCAACTGAGTTTTCTGTTGAAATAGAAGATTGTATTAGTGATTGTAAATATGATTGTGAATATACAGTATATCCATATAGGCTATTTGATCTCTCAGTGAAAGCAGGACAAGTTTTGGGCTCAGCACTTTGGAACATGTGCAGCCTATAGGCCTATGAATGAACCACTGTCACATATAAGTCTATTGGCTATATCCACACGTTTTAAAGAGGAATGAACATTGTGATTTTAGGCGAATTGGTCCATATCTCTCATTAAAACGAATTTTAACTCAACATCAGAGGTTGCATTGTATTTTCCCGCATATAAAACATGGTGCCATATGCTTTCATTTGGCATAATGTGAATGTGGAACTCCTTCACAAAAAGCCGTATTGGCTGCTTCTCATTGTGTGAGATGAGAAAACCGAAAGCCCTGGCTCCTCTAACGTTAATTAAAAACCAATAAAGAGCGGACATTGTCATTCTAAATCAGCTTGTGGACAGAGCCACTCTTGGAAAAGAACATTTACGCCTTTCCCAGCTACTCTTCCCATATTTGTTCAGGTGCAGAAACCTCTATGTGACAATTCACACACATAGCCTACTCAGAAAAAAAAAACAAGAGCGCCGCAAACACTATTTACCCAGTGGAGCCACTTTTCCAAGCCTCTCAAGATGTAGATTTGAATTTAAATGAGGGCCCAGACTCTAAATGCTTGCAGTCGACCAACATCAATGTCCCTTCTTTTTACCACTTCTCCCCCGCTTTGTTGTCAATCTTGGTGACAATAATTCGGGTCTTGGGAGAACTCTTCACATTCCGATCTCCAGGATCACAGTCAGTAAACACACACAGCCACAGAATAGAACCGTCCCGCTCTGAATTTCTGCATCTAATCTTTTAAGATTCCGGGGCATGAAATAAGGTGACAATTGAAAACCGGATTTGCCCCAAACGAATTAAACATTGCTAAGTCCAAATCTCTTTAGTAAAGTCACATGACCCCTAATGACACGGACTATATGATCTCAACACGTGTGTGTGTTGAATTTTAAATATAAGATTTGCCATTAAATTCAAAACGAAAATGTGATCCACTGGAAGAATAGGCCTACGTTGATTTCCATAAGGTTTTTGGGAAAATCAAGAGATGATTTTAACCCAAAAGATTTGTCTAAAGTAGACCTACTTTGGTAAAATCAATTAGGCTACACATTTTGGACGGCCAACACTGATGCAAACATAGGCCTAGAATAGATTATTTCGATCGCCAAATAATACAAATCAAATAGCCTTCTCTTGATGTGCAGTGATTTTGAATTCCATAGCCTATCAGTTAGCGTACAGGAACTTTTTTCCATATAGGCAATGGCATTTTATGAGTGTGGGAATAGGTTTTGTGTAATAAAAGGTCGTGGTTCCATCGAAGAGACAGTGTGGGGCGATATAAGATCATGAAATAGTCTGATATGCATTAAACATGAACAGGCAGCAAATACCCATATAAATAACACAGCTACTATGAAATACATATATATAGATATATATTAAATATGGATATGAAAGGGTAAAAGATCACGGTATAACGAGTGTGAATAACAAGAGAATAGCGAGAGGACACATTGTGTAGAACTCTGAACTAGAAGGGGGTTGGCTAACGAGATAGAATCATATAATATCCTAGAAACGTTGTTTATTTCATCCCAATAATATGTTAATTAATTATCTAGCTCGAGTAGCGTACTTTGTAAAAAATTAATAAAATAAAAGTTGCATCATCAATAAAAGGGGGGAAAGGTTATTATCACGTTTTCCAAGATATTGTATCTTTCCCATTCACATTCGTTTTTGATGTCAGTGATGGCGACCAACAGCTTTTTGACTTGACACCCTACCTGCTTTGACGGAACAGTGGATGTGGGCCTTGGACTCGTAGTAGACCCAGTCGAACCCAGCCTCCACTGCTAGTCTTGACAGCGTGCCGTATTTGCTCTTGTCTCTATCGGAGGTCGTGATATCCACTGCCCTTCCCTCGTAGTGTAGCGACTCTTCGAAATGGTGCCCATCCTCGTCCCAGCCCTCGGTGACGCGGAGCTTTACCCCTGGCCACTGGTTCATGACAGAGATAGCCAGGGAGTTCAGCTTGTCTTTACATCTCTGGGGGAAGGAAAATGGAACAGTTAGTCATCTATTTAGATATATCAAATTCACTAATCATGCTCACCAGATGCCAATTCCTTCATGTAGGATATATCAGGCCTGGGTATTAAGCCTACATTAGGCTCATATTTGATATATGATATTAAGTGTTATGTTCCAGACAGTGTATATTCATTATTGGCTCTTAATCTTAAACTTAATTCACACGCCTGAAGGTATGTGATTTTGTAGATGCATGGTTGGAGGCCAAAACAATGATCCTATAGAGTTGACATTATATAGTTCGTCTTCATATGTGCACTTTGTGGACCAGAGACCAGGATTTATGATCTGAAACAAGGTACACACCACACACACACACACCACCCTACAGGTTTATGGATTACAAAATACAAATCACTCAAATAGTTAACATTTCACATTCCATTACATCTGGTGAACCTGAATATCTCCGATATTCCACACTAAAGATTAATTGAGATTCAATCAATATCCTCCCATCTATTGTTCTAGAGAGTGATGTTATGGGATATATGCCTACACACAACAATGTGAATGGTTTGTTTGAATAAACTCGAATATTCTGTGTGACGAGCAGCGTCTGAGGGAACATGTCAGATAGAGAAGCTTGTGATTAAAAATTGATAAGCCATTGCATTCGCTTCACTGGCCTAAAACATATAGATTTGGTCCTTGGAAAAGTGCGACCGCTCAATGGCCTATTTGTACTCTCTCTCAAGATGCTATAACGTGATAGACTCTGTCCAATAAAAGAAAATGCCGGAATTAATTATATATTTGAAAAAATTGAAAAAATATATAACTATATTGAAACCAAGAGTAAGACGTGTGTTTTCTTTTAATAAATAATTGATATTGAGGATAATCTAAAGGAATAACTGAGTTATAAAATAGTTGTCTTATAATTGGAATGTTGCACTTCCTAACCTATATAAGGACCCTTAGTGGAGATGCTTGGCCTTCTCCAAGACAACTCTTCTCTACACTTAACCAATATGTCAAATAAAACATTACAAAGAGTCTTTTCACCGCAACCAGAGGGAAAGTTTCATTATTCTTGTCGCGCAAGTTCTTGGGACGTGACAGGACTACTCAACTGGAGGTGTTTTGGTTTTCTTCCCTAAAGGCCCACCCCCCCCACCACACACACACATCCCTAACGCATGGGCCACTCTCCATCCTCTTCCGTTTGTTGGTAAGGATCCCCAATGCTGGTCATACGGTTAGCCTACCTCATATCGCAATTAGCCTAACCTGTCTTTCCTGCGATACCTCAAAACAAACCAACAATATACTCGCACTTGTAGCATGCAGTGGGTAAAAAATGCAAAGTGGCCATGCCAAAACCTTTTCCTGCACATTCTGAGTAGGATTGCTGGAGCCAAGAGCCGTGAAGCCTAAACTATTTATTAATTCATTGGGTCGTGTGCCGCAAATCCAGCCAAATTCTGTTCAACCACCGTGAAGCCCAGCAGGATCCCTCCGCCGGCGCTTTGTCCTCAGACTGAAAGTTTTTCAACAAGCCTCGCCCGCAGTCTGCCCCTTAATCTTCTCACAAATGAATTGGTTAGAGGAAACACTTATCAGGTACCTGTCAGTGCAAACAACCCGCTGGTCCGTCTCAATTTCGCGTCGTTTGAGTGGCCATATTCAGTTTCCATTAAGCTGTGCTCGCTACAGACGACCATGTGATGTTTTTATTCGCGACAGAAACGTCTGGGCTGCGCGCTAAAAATGTCTGTAAAGCTATGACCTCGTTAACTTTCCTCGAAACGAACTGTCTTTGTAGTTGAGGGGGCTGCTTGGTTAACTCGCTCACTCAAAATGAGTTGGTGCAGCCAGGGGGCATCACGCTTTTATAGTCATCATCACTTTAAATGGAGTTTGATTTACATAGGAAACCACAACAGACAGACGTTTAATCTCCGTTGAAATTACACTTTGTTTAAACAATTGTGAGACTGAGCTCTATTCCAGCTAGGAATCCATCCCATAGTTTACAACTTTCAGTGCACCTGCGCACCCACAGTGAGTCAGCGCCGTCCCCACCACAGCCCACTGGATTGACCATTACGCACAACAATCATACAATATAGAAGATGGCAAACATATTCTAGATGCTAACCATTAGTTCTTCATATTATTCAGATATTAAGTTTGTAGGCTGTAACAGTCTATCTCTAACTCGTGATGTGGTTGCAGGTGCATCTCGTCAATAGGGCTACGCAGTACGCCACTAAACAGCAAATACTGTAAGTACTCCATACTTAATACATGTATTGTCTGTTGAACTTTGTTTATGCTTCCTCTTCTCATTGACCAAAGGTCATAAATTCAAATACTCCCGCATAATGTAGACTGGATGGCAGGTCGTGTTAAATGAATGGAGGGAGGGAGGGGGCATATTCCCACGGGGATGTTTATCTATGAGCCTCCTTTTGCCTTGCCTGGTCAATATCTATAGCAAATATGTCATATTTTAAATATTTCACCTTTCTACGAATTATAGCCTAGCACAAAGCATAAAACAGTGAGCTTATTTTGTCACTCACAATGCCATTAATTTGTTGTTGTTTTTGGAAATGGTTTGGCGAATTTTTTTATGCAGTGATAACATAATAAAATCAACATACATCCTCTACTTTCAGACCAATAAAGGACGGTAAATGGAGATGAAAGCGCACAGTGTGTCAAAAAGCGGAGTCTTTGGCACAATTCTCTGTTCAACCACAGCTTTAACTGGCAGTGGCCGAGGGCTATAGACAGAATAGAAGGTTATATATCTCACTCTAGCCTCCATTTGAAGTGTGATAACGAATAGGCTATATTGGAGGAAGGGAAGGGAGCATTTAAGAGATATGTTGAGACTGCACGCAGGGCAGGGTGAATATTTAATCTAAGCTCGTGCCCATGTCGCGGTATACGGTTCAGGGAGTCCGGCGCGCGCGCCTCCATCATCACACTACTTCAGGTTCAGTGGCATTTTAAGGTGGCCGGACTGAACTAATAGACGTTCTTATTAAAATAGCAACACAGCAATTGCAAAATACGTGCAACAGACACCCAATATAGGCTACAGCAGCTGGAAATCAAGTAACCTCATGGGTGAGAGAGACATGCTCTCCAGACTGCATTTCTGACCCATATTTTTATGGACAATGCATGCAAGATAGCCACCCAGAATCGTATAACGAAATCACAGACTAGCATTCGACTGAGGGAAATCTGATTCACAGAAACTACAATGCTTGTTTGCCACTAATGCAGTCTTTCCAAAGCAAATGCATTACCGGAGGCGCAGTCGGTGCGTCTTGCTATATCATTGCACTAATTGGCCGCGTCCCACCCATTTATGAAGTAGTGATAGTGTTCAGAACATTCTCAAAGAAATGTCAATGTCTTCATGCGCCGATAAACACTATACTGCGAAAGGCTGAATAACAGTATGCAAGAAAATGTCTGAATGCGCCAACCATGCATAAATAAGGCCGCTGTTTTAGTCATAGGTCAGATCAGATGACTGAAATTAAAGATTTAAAACAAGATGTAATCTAAATCTTAACGGTGCAATAGCGGAATATCCTAATGCTATAGTATTGCATAGACAACCGATGTGCGTCTCCACAAGGCCTTGATACAAATATAGATATGAGGAGAGGACCACATAAATATTTCAAATAAACTGCCACAATCGTGAAGGCCGAGTGTCCTACTGGTCTGCCAGTAGGCCTATGTCATGTCTCTGATTTTATTATGAAAGCCTTACCCATGCAGGACCTAATCAAAAGTGCAATGCTCTGAGATTGAAACGGAACCTTTTCACACATCTACTTAAAAATAAAAACAGACTTGAGACGTAAATATGCATTTGTTTGTGGTGCGCAATCTGCATCCAATGTGAAAGGTTATGTTACACAGTGTCCTAAAAGATGCGCGGCATTAAAAAGGTAGGCTATTCATTTTACCTGAGTCATGAGCCGGTCCGCACCGGTGTTCTCTTCATCCTTAAAGATAATGTCAGTATTGTAATTGGGAGTCAGTTCTTTAAATCGCTCGGAGTTCCGTGTGATCTTGCCTTCATATCTGCCACTGGCCCCTAGGGTCTTCTCCGCGACGTTTGGGATGAACTGTTTGTACGCTAGAGGTGTCAGCTTCTTCGGATGTCTTCTCCTCCCGTAGCCCCTGCCCGGTCCACAGCCCATCCCAGAGGACACCAAGGACAAGCAGATCAACCCGAACAGAACGATTCTTGTCAACAGCAGCATTTCGTCCATAAAATCTAAATTACTCGGAGCCTCAGTGTGTTATCAACCGGCGGCCGTTTGTTTCTATATCTCCCCTCCCTCTCGCGCAGCTGCTTCCACAATGTCCTTGTCTCCTCCTCTAGTTCGTCTGTAGGCTACCGTGCCCCCCGATCACTACCGTGGCAGGTGCGTAAATGAACGCCTCTGCAAAATGATAACGGAACACATCGAAGGAGAGACGTTGCTGCGTGGGTAAAAAGTGAGAAAATTAACCACGGAATCTCTGCGTAGTCGAGCTAGAGCGGCTTGTGCGAGCAGACCGCGTTTACTGCTATGTATTATAGCACCGATCTATGGCAGGGGAGGGACCTGATTGGTTCGCCTAGACAAACCCTTCTGATGTTATCACACAAAAGAGTAAAAAAAATCTTTAAAGATTTTTTCCACCTGAAGGGTGGGTTTAGGGGAGGGGCTGCACTCCATGGGAAAACTTAAATTACAATTTTTTTCTCTCTTCCTCTGTTCTTAAAACTAAAAACAAGATTCCCAGTTGAGGGAAAACCCAACTCGTAGCCTATAGGCCTATGTTGTTATGTTATGTGACTTAGTGTGGGTGATTCGAATGTTGTGTCTAGAATTATTAGATAAACTTAGGTACATATTGACTTCCCACTCATGGGAAATAGCTTGAAAATGGGTGTACGCATGTCTCTGACTCTGGGAGTTTTTTTTTACTGTGTAAGTGTCTAAATTAGAGCGTCTCGGTCGATAGGCTGCATGAATAAGCCAAACGTTGTCAAGAAGTTGTACAATTAGTTAACCATATAGCCCAGTATTATTGCTTCTCATATGTATAATTTACTCAGTGCGTAACCGCTCATTTGGATATAGCCTACAAACTAACTTTGGGGAAAATAATGGGTGAGCCACTGATTGGAAATTAGACGGGTCAAGGAATAAAAATACTATTTTTTTAAAACAGCTAATACAAAATATAATTTAGGCTAAACTATGTCCAAATGTCCTTTGTTTAAATAATTTGACTCGGGCATGATACCCCTTATTCTAGTTTCAGCATTGTAGATCCATTTTCAGTCTGAACAGAAAGTAGCAGGGCAAATTACGTTTCAGTCTGAGATTGCATCAAAAGAGAACATCCTATGAGCGTATATGATATGTCAGTGGATGTGAAAAACCTAGCGTTTATTTTCTTGCATAAAAATAATTAACAAAAATCAATGCGCATGACACTGCCATATGCCATGGCGCACACATAGGCTATGTGGATGCATGACACGTTTTAGAGCCACCGTTCAATTGTTCTTTTAGATAGAGTTAATGATATGTTAATGATGCATGCGTAATGCGCGCTCTCCATGCGCCTTTCCAAAATTCGCCAAAAGGTAATTAGTGGAACGCCACTTCAAAACACGTGGACACACAAATTATAACGGTAACAAACCCTTTCTGTTACTTTGTTACACCTGTTAACACAAATGTTGAATTACATTTTTTTTATTGTTACAGTACACTTATGTTGTGTGGAAGCATAGGACTATAAATACAGGTTCAGATTTTCAGCCTTAGAACTAAGGGAATTCCATAGCAACAAACATTTTTAAAAATCCACACAAAACATGTCATATTTCAACCTCACTCCGAACTAGTAACATCCTATTATGGAATATAATTATGTTTAGGCCTATCTTAATAAATTCCCCCAAGTCAATGGAACCATAATCCAAAATATATGGATAAAATCAGACAGACACAAAAGGGTGTCCTGGTTTGAATGGTGTTTTGGGGGGAAGAGACTTAGGGTGTTCTAAGGGTGTTATCCCAGGCCTCTCCTTCCTCCACATCCTGGGCCATTGGTTATTGGAATTGGCTTGTCAAGTGTACACAAACGTGCTGCTGTCTGTTTGGGCCAGGGATCAGACCACAAAGCCTTTCCCCCAAAGTCCACTTCATTGACAGATTAAGCCATGGTAACCACTGTATTCACTGGTCCATAGCAGCAGGCGAGGTATGTGGTAATTGTCTTACTTTCTCTTGTCTTCACATGTTTGCAGGACCGCTCTCAAAGATGGTGTCTGTTTGTCTCGGGAGACATATTAATGCTCTGCCTCTGCTCCTCCATGGCCAGGCCTTTTTTTAGCAGGCCCCTTTGCAGATAATGATTTGTTGTCTTCCATTGGATGCTTCTGGAGATGACCAAAACTCCAGTGTTCATCAGTATCCATTTGATGCTGTATTGCAGACCATATCTGAGTTTCACATAGATGTTGATCTTTTTAAATGGCTTTAATCACTATTGTCTGGGTTCATCTTAGTAAAAACCTTGTCTGTGATGTATCAATGAGTGAACCACTCTGGTCTGACACAATAAAACACATTGGGAGAGGCTTGAAGATTTTGCCAAGATATTGCCACAGTGAATGACCATTGTAAAGGCAATAGTATTTTTCTGCACTGATATATGAATGTTACTACATACATAAGCAACACAGAAAGAATCTGATGCTTGGTTGAAGAAAAGTCGATTGGGAGGAGCTTTGAATGTAATCACAAAACCCTTTGTTAAGTAAAGGAGGTGCTGATTTGGGTCGAACAAACAATGGGTTACTTAGCATTTGGAGATTAATCATAAAAATGCCTATCAATATTCTGTGTCATTACAAAATGTGTCCTGGGGGAACTATTGGTTAAAATTGGTATTTAATATCATAGTGATAATGCAGAAATATTTATAGTTCAGTTTAACCTTTATTTGCATGCTAGAATAAGCCTATAGGTCTTGCTTGTGCTTTGCTTTGACCACATTCACCACCATTGTGTGGCACATGAGATAGGGGGAGATCCTGCCAACCACAGGAGAGACGGGTTAGGTCAAATTAAAACCTGCCCTGGCAGACCTCCAGCACTGCCAACCCTGTGCCAGTGGCTCATGCCATCTCAGTCAGGGCAGGTGAAGCTACCTGCTGCCTAGTGTGCCCAGGAACGTGATGAAGCCCTTGCCAAAGATGACCAGCTTAACTGGCAGAGCGCCAGGTCAAACCGAGAGTCCCCCTCTTCATTAAGCGAGAAAAAAAAACGTGATTATCTATGTATAGCTGTGCGCATGCACATCCTTGAAATGCCTCTGTGTTATTTGTTTGCAGAGTGACAGGAGAATCTCAGTCGTCTTGGCAGTAGACACATTTCAGCAGCCGTCAACATGGAAGTCCTGAGTAAACACAGGGAGGACTAGCCTACAGCTGCAGGAGACGTTCCAAAACCAAGGGCAGTGTTTGGGCTGAGGTCACAGGCAGTGAACAGGAGTTCAGGTATCACTACTCTGAGATATAGACCTAGGCAGGCACTCCAGTGATGCCACACAGGTGCCTCAAAACTACAGGGACAGACGCATGGTGTGGTGGGGATTGGTGAGGCAGGTGGAGCCCTCACCCTCAGACTCCACCACCCCACCACCACATCCGCCCTGGTGGCTGACGCCGTGACGTGCGCCTTGTACCGTTGCCTGTCGAACCAACAGGGTACATTACCTGAATCACACGAGGAGAAGAGAAAAAGGCCTCCCTGTAAATGTGTAACATGTAAAAATGGTAAGCAATGTAAATAATGCAGACTGGAGCCCATGAATAATGCAACCTGTACAGAGGACTAGGAGGCTGTGCTGCTGCCTGGGCTCAGAGGGAACCAACCAATCCACTGGAAGCACAGCTGACAACAAGAACACAGCCCAGCCCAGCATCTCTTCTCCAGCATCGACATAGCACAGAGGCCATGGCCTCCAGGGTGAAATTTCCCCTAGGTACAGATCCTTAACCTTTAGTGGGGGAAATGCAAAACTGACACAAGATCAGCATCTAGGGGCAACTTCACCCTACCCCGAGGCCATGGACAGGGGGTGGTGGTGGTAGTGATGGGGGAGGCGGCGTGAGATATCTGGATGAGCTGGACACTGGGGCAGAATCTCAGCAGCATAATATTTATACAGCGGTAGAGACTAGCCCATTTAGAGACAGCTCTCATAAATAGTAGAACATATTCACCAGGGACAGCAGAGCAGGAGTAGAAAGCCATGCTAACTGCTACCGGGAGTGACACAGCAACATTGAGAGTTGTTTGATGAAATCATTAAGGAGGGATTGAGGGCCTTATAAATTGTGTAGCGCCACGGGGCCTGTTGCATGTGATGGATAATCCACTGTGAGGAGTAGTTCTTTCTGTGGCCATAGATCTCTCTTCCAGGTGACTACAGTTTTGTCCCATATGGCAACCTATTCCCTACATAGTGCACGACTTCTGTGCACTATATGGAGAATAGGGTGCCATTTGGGATTTAACCTTACACCACCTTCTCATCAACCCTTTTCTCTGCCATGTCATTGGGGCCATATCCCATAGACTTGGATTGAAAACACCCATCCACATCAGCCATACCCAAATACAGCACTGGCTGTTTGAGCATGTTCCCCTCACCAGTTCGAGCCGGCATGGAGGATCTCGATTGCCTCTGATCTGATTGAGGCAAAACAGGTGGCTAATTTCTCCCAATACAGTGTTAACCAAGCATGTGGCGAAGCAGAAAGAAAAAGGTTGAACAGAGCTTTTGCTGGTCCAAGTCCTTCATGACTGTTCTAAGTCCTCCTACTGTCTGAGGTTTTGAAACCCTGTTTGATGGATTAAGAGTGCAGAATAATCACACACACACACACACACACCCTGTGCCAGATAGCTCTCTGTTATGGTTTGTTTGGGAAAAGGAGGTTCCTTTATTCGACCCAATAGAAAACCATCACCAAGGACAAGGTTAGTAGTATCAAATAGCAGGTGAGTCCCGATTCAGGGCTTGAGGGCTTTTATCCTGACCTGAACATCTGACAATCTGTAAAGGTGAAACTGGCACACTTATGCCAGTTATCCCACAACCTTTCCCCAGGTGGAATTATCTTTATATCTATGTCTTTGAATCACTTAACACGATTCAATCAACCTTTTAGTGGAGACAACATTGGTCGTTCTTTGCATTGAAAGGATTTATATGTCCTGAAGGCCTTTCTTTTCAGTTACAATGGAGATTGCACAATCACAGTACCTGTAAAAATGTTTTATTTGCTCCCTGTAGCCGCTCCCAATACTTAAACATTAAGCGCAAAGGCTAGACAGGCAAACCCCCTTTGAACTGCGGAGCAGGGTGAACCCAAGGCAGAGGGGAGGGGTGGAGGGGCATTGTGTCGTGATTCAGGGGGGGGATTGAGGGGGTAAGGAGGCGAAGGATATTTCTTCAGGTGAGTCAGAGGAGCCATGTTAGACCATCCAGGTCTTGACTGGGATAATACGTGATGAGGAGAGAAAGTCTCAGGTGTTTTTAGCAATGCCACTTCTGTTGA